CATATAACTATCCCGTAAACAAATCAGAATGAAGGCTAACCAAAGATGGACATAATCTAACTTCTGCGTACATAAACTGTGGGCAAAGAAATTATGATTTTTCAGTAAATGGGCTGTATGGATGGGTCCATGCCAGATGCCTGGAGGTATTGCCACCTTTCTGTGGCAATCCTGCTGTCTGTTGGCATACTGTGTGGGTTGCTCTGTGTAGGTTGCGTGTTTGTGGGGCAGCTGGTGGATAAATTGACAGAAGTTTGGACCAGATGGCCCTTTGATCTCATTAGGATTATATAAATGAATTCGGTGGCAAAACTCTCACTCACATTATATTTCAGAGTGCCTCTACCAGTATGAACTTCCCAGGACCCTTAAGACGTCACCTTGGCCCCTCCTATAGCTGTCCTTTCTGAGGAAAGAGCAGAGGGCAGCAAGAAGGGAGACGACCTTTTCAGCTGCGGCTTCTTGCTTGTGGAATGCTCTCCCCCAGTGAGCACTGCCAGGCACCATCATTAACATGCTCACAGTGCCAGGTAAAAAAAGGCACATGAGGCAGTGATGACCACCACCTTCAATGGTTTTAGAAGAAGATTAGACAAATTCACAGAGGAAAAGGCCACCACTGGCTGCTAACCCTGATGGTTATGTTCTACCTCCACTGTTGGAAGCAGTATGCTTCTGAATACCAGTTACTGGAGGCAGCTGGAAAGGAGAATAATGCTGCACTCAGGTCCTGCTTGTGGCATCTGGTTGGCCACTGTGAGAACAGGATGATGGACTAGATGGTCCACTGGTCTGATCCAGCAGGCTCTTATGTTCCCAAAACAAATTTGCTCCATCACCAATGTGATAGTCCTTTGAATATTTTTAGATGGCTTTTCATATCAACTTTGTCTCTTCTCCGAGCTGAACATACCCAACTCTTTCAAACTTTCCTCATAGGACTTGGCCTCTGGGTCCTTCAGCAGTTTTGCCAACCTCCTCTGGATACTTTCCCAGAGGTGGACTTAACATTATGTTCAAAGCCTTCCTTGTAAAAGCAGCTGTCCATGATTTTCCGATCTCGTATCTCATCATTAAAAGGAATTCGGGGGAAAGAATGTTAAATGTTAAAAGTTGAATTTCAAATGTATATAATATTTCATTTTAACTCTTATTTGATAGCAGGTGAGGCTGGTGGGTGAGATATATGGTTTAGCAGGAGGGCTTTGTGTATTGGAGATGTACTGTATTTCTTTTTAAATTATAGTAATTATCAGTGCTTTTTTTTCCTAGAAAAAAATGCCGGTACTCACCATGAAGTTGTTACAGTTAAGTACCATTCTTTTTAACAACAACAACAAAAGAGGTGCCGATACTGTGTACTCTTGAGTACCCCCTGAAAAAAAGCACTGGTAATTATTTATACATTTGCATGTACACATATAATTAGCACATGCAAATTTCATGTGAACCTGTGTCCTCTTTTGTGGTGATAAATAAATGGTCACTCTACTATGGTCTATGGTGGTCAAGAACATGAGATGTGAGCTGCAGCCCCGTTTCTAACCACAGCTCCTCAATGTAATCAGTCGGCACCCTTAAGTAATGACAATAAAGGTAAAGGGACCCCTGACCATTAGGTCCAGTTGTGACCGACTCTGGGGTTGCGGCGCTCATCTCGCTTTATTGGCCGAGGGAGCCGGTGTACAGCTTCCGGGTCATGTGGCCAGCATGACTAAGCCGCTTCTGGAGAACCAGAGCAGCACACGGAAATGCTGTTTACCTTCCCGCCTGAGTGGTACCTATTTATCTACTTGCACTTTGTCGTGCTTTTGAACTGCTAGGTTGGCAGGAGCAGGGACCGAGCAATGGGAGCTCACCCCGTCACAGGGATTCAAACAGCTGACCTTCTGATCGGCAAGTCCTAGGCTCTGTGGTTTAACCCACAGCGTTACCCGCATCCCTTAGTAATGACAATATAAGAATATTCTGAAGATATAAGAATATTCTGAAGACAATATAAGAGCCTTCTGAATCAGGCTAATGGAGCATCTAGTCCAGCAATCTGTTATCACAGTGGTCAACCAAATGCCTGTGAGAAACCCACAAACTGGGCCCAAGCATGAAAGTACTCCCCCCTCCTGCGGATTCCAGAAACTGGTAGTATCTTCTGAAATAAACAGGAATTCAGATCTGATGTATGGGGAACTCTTTTTGGCCCATTCCCTCTGGTTTTTCTCACTTTTTATCAGCTACAAAGAAGTTATCTGATTTGTACATTCTTTGGAAGCTTCAAACATGAGTGGTGTGGATCTCACCCTCCCCTCTTCTAAGTTATGCCAGGTCTTTGCTGCCTTTGACAAGGCAAGCATCTTCTCACACAGTTGCAATTAACGACAGACTGTATTGTGTGTGTCAAAGTGCGTTCTTAAGGCAACCTGTGATGTGAAACAGAAACTTACGCTTAGCTACAAAGGCATCTGAAAAGGTAAACGGTAAGAGGAAAACACGCATGCAATGTGGGGGAAAGTCTGGTGCTGCATGCCCCCAACCAGGCATATTTTGCAAAGTAAATATATATATGAACAATGAAAATATTTACAATAGGCAGTCATAATGATGCTTAGGGCCAGCCCCATCATTAGGCAAAGTGAAGCAGCAGATGGCAAATGGGGGAAGATGAGCAGCAGTGAGGTGTTGGAGCTCCTTTCATTCCTGAGTTTGATGGGAGTGGAGTCCACATCACCTGGTGGGCCACAAGTTCCTCATCCTTGGTCTACACTGACTGGCAGCATGCTCCTAGTGCACATAAGAACATTAGAAGAGCCTACTGGATCAGGGTGATGCTTCATCTAGCTTGGTATCCTGTTCTCACAGTGGGCAGCCAGATGCCTGTGGGAAACCAGTGAGCAGGACCCAAGCACAAGAGCATTCTCCTCTCCTGTGGTTTCCAGTAACTGATATGCAGAAGTATTATGAAGGCAGAACGTGGTCATCATGGCTAACAGTAATTGAAACCCCTCTCCTCCATTTCTCAAGTCTATCTGGAGATACTAAGGACTGAATTAGGATATTTCGCATGTAGAGCAAGTGCTCTACCACTGAGCTATGTCCCTTCTGATATTCCTAACCTGCACTGCCTCCGTGTGCCTATGCTTGCACATTTGTCTGTCCTGTTTGTTCATTCACGTGTATCACACACTCCCTTTAGGGAACTTGCGGTTCCCAGGTTGCCTTCCATCTGGGTACTGCCAGTCCTACAACAGATACTGTGCCGCAACACGCTGTCCACACGCAGACATTGTTTTCCTTGTAGATGTGTATATATGTATCGTTTATTTTCAGTCATCCCCACCACCACTCACCTACACCTTCCTTTATTTTTTCATTCTCTGCACTTTTAGAACTGCTTTGCTCTTCCCTTTCTCATTAAATTACTTTGGGATGAAAATGGGTTTCTGTTTTAATAAAAGAGAAAGCCATATAAGTTACACCACAGAGAGCCCCTGTGTTCAGTTGGACATGACAAAAATGCATGCCTCCGGTTTTGGAGCCCAATCCAAAGAACCAGATGCTTGTCAGCCACAGAGCTGGCTGGGTTGAACAGACAAAAAGACCTTTTTTTTTTGCTTCTGAGTGAATTCCATCAGATCATAAACAGCTGCTCCTAAAGGCACTGAAAGCACCAAAAATACTCATGAATAAATATTAAGTGAAGGGTTGGGAGCGGGGATTAGGCAGCAAAAGAACAAAAGAAAGAAAATAAAGGGGGATGCACAGAAAGGCTCTGATCTTTTATACTGGAGAAAAACATATAATTTGCCATCAAGACACGTGAAAGCTCTTCCAATGGCAAATGGTTTAGTATGACTATATTATAGGAAGGCACAGCTAAAGGGAAGCAATAAAAACAACACATCAAACCTTTGTCAGCTTTTCCTTGCCCCTAAATATCTGGATGAATATAACAAGGATGTGCAGAACCCTACCTTTCACTAGGATCCCATCACAAATTCTGCTCATGCCGATAGCAGATTTTCCATGGCAAATTGGCTCCTTCCCCTCTGAGCCACAGTACCTGTTCTTTTTATTAATGCACAGACCACATCCACACCATACATTTGAAGCACATTTGATGTGCACTTAAATTGTCCAACTCTCCCTAAAGAATTATGGGGATTGTAGTTTCAGCTCCACAGAGCCACAATTCTGAACACCCTTAGCAAACTACAGTTCCCAGGATTCTCTGTGGGGCATCATGTGTTTTAACTGTATGGTGTGGCTCTGCTCTAAATTGCACTGCATTGTGCACCATACAGTCTTCAGCTGCTCCAGACACAGTGGTTCTTCTATATGCTAAACAGGAAGAGCTCCATACAAAATGAAAATAAAATAAAAAAATAGGATAAAGCCAGAAATAGCATAAAACCACCAGCAGAGGATTGCATCAGTACAACAATTCTTAAAATTACTGAAGAAGAAGAAGAAGAAGAAGAAAGATTCTCACAACACTGGACCTTGGATCATCAAATGCAACTGATTGATGGTAGGTTCACAACAAGCAAAAGTAAGTATACCTTCACACAATCTATAACTACCTTACGGAATTCACTGTCGTAAATGTGGGGATGACCACTGGCTTGAATGGCTTTTAATGGGGACTGGATGCATTCTTGGTCGTATCAATGACCATTTGCCAGGTTAGCTTCTTGCAGCCTCCATGTTCAGAAGCAGGGTTGCTGAACAGAAACAGTGGGTGAGGGCTATTTGTGCTCTATTTGTGGGCTTCCCATAGGCATCTGGCTGATTGATGTGGGGAGCAGGATGCTGAACCAGACAGACGCTTGGTCTAATCTGGTAGAGGGCCTTCTCATCTTTTTTAGTGTTAAAGTTGTTATGCTGAAAAACATAAACCCATTAAGATAGCTGCAGAAATATTCTGCACAGTGCTGTAATACTTTTATAACTACATTCTTTATGTTAAATTGTGGGTGAACATATCAGACGACACAGCGATTCTTCAAACAGCTCTTGTTTATTCACAGGCCAGAACAGAACTGAACTGAAGGGTTCAGCCAGCCTGCTTATATAGAGCTCTACCAGAACACAACAGTGACTATTTTCCGTAACTATCCAATCACTGAACGTCACTTTCAATCCCTTATTTGCATATGTGGAGCTGAGTGAAAACTATCTACAGTATCCCCCTGCTGGCCCAGGATGAGAACTTCAGTACATAACACTTTATTAATTGATTATTTTCTTTTTCACCTAGTACAATATCTTTTAATGGAGTGTAGTGTTATGAAAGCCAATGCTGAAATCTGATGGGAGTCTATTGAGATCATGATCTGCCCTCTTCACTACAGCACTTTCTAGGGTTTTTTCCATTCTAGGCCTCACAGAGTAGGATCAGGGGTCAACTCCCTTGTGAGCCTTTCCATTTAATGAGGGCTTGCTCTATGTTTCTTCTCTGATGGAGGTCAGATTGATGGCCATGAGGAGAGTGCCTTCACGGTGGTGGCACCACTACTGTGGAGCACTCTCTCAAGATAAGCCAACCAGATTCACATTTTTAAAAAATATGCTGTTGAAACATGGCTTTCTGCTCAGGGCTGGCGCAGGATGTTTTGACGAGACAGAGGCAAGACAGAAAATACATCCCCAAATGACTCCATCACCTCCCCGTCCCCCACTGTCACCTGAGAAAAAGCCAAGCTGAAAAAGAGGTGGTGGGAGGGTGGCAGTGGAAGAGGAGGTGGCAGGGTGGCTGCAGCAACAGAGAAGGTGGGCAACAAGCACAGGGAGGAGGCAAGCAGCACACTCCTTGCAGGCCTGGATCTGCCACCTGCCCAGCTGCCCCAAGTCTGCCATCTGAGGCAACTTCCTCATCAAGCCTGATGGGTAGGCTGGCCCTGAGTCTGCTGTTTCTTAATACTACTGGTTCTTTTTTTCTATTGTTTATTAATGTTATGGTACTACTTGCATCCTTTAACGTATTTTAATATGTTAACTTTTATTCCTGCTTTACTATAAGCTCTTCAGAGTACTCTGATGGTGAAAGAGCAGGATGGATGTTTTTAAAGTAAACAAAGTTACAATTTGCTATACACTTATAGCATATAGTGGGAGTAAGTCTCATTGAACTTAGTGGGATTTACTTCTGAGTAGATATGCATAAGACTGTGCTGTAAATCTATGACTAGGGCAAGCTTCCTCAACCTCGGCCCTCCAGATGTTTTTGGCCTACAACTCCCATGATCCCTAGCTAGCAGGACCAGTGGTCAGGGATGATGGGAATTGTAGCCTCAAAACATCTGGAGGGCCAAGGTTGAGGAAGCCTGGACTAGGGCATATTTTTCTACAGTTATTTAATAAACTTTTCATGCACTTTCACATAAGGATAGTTAGCAAGAACTGTAATTCCTTCAGAAGATAAGCTAGGAGAAAATAAATGCATTTATGAACACTTGTTGACAACTGGCCAACCACCAACCTATATGATTCAGAATCTGACTATAACTACATTCAGGTCCCTTATATTAATTTTATTTTATTACTACTATTATCATTCAAATTTCTATACTACTATTTTGGTACCAATAGGCCATCAAATTGATTTATATTGAAGGCCTTAAAATGCAGTGAAAACATCAAGAGCACAATGAAAAAAACATAATATAACAAAACATCAGCTATCAGAAACGTCAAAGCAGCATGTTTTATTTGCTATGCTCATGTGTTGACTTTCTACTATTGCACTTAAAATGGTTTACAGTTTAAAATAATGACTTACAATCTGATAGCTGCAATACAAAAGTAAAAAGGAATGGGGAGCGGAAAAAGGAAATAAACATGTGCAAGTACCTGTTTATAAAATGGTACTTTGGTACTTTGTAATTTTAGTCCACTATGTCATTCCTGCTGATTTTTTAAATTTTGGGGCCACAATGAGTGCAGTAAAGATAAGTGGATAATAGGAACTAGCCTTTGGAGAAGATCTCACTTTGTTGTTCAACTGCAACCCCACTCACCTGGCTGGAGCCAGCAGATGGCAAGGTTGCTGAGGCCCAAAATGCAGGAGGTGCCTCCTTGGATGTGCCTAAGCTCTGAGCAAACTGAGAATACATACTGTCCTCCCATCTTCTATCTCTGCCCATATTTTGATTATCCTTTGGGCAGCTCTGTCACAATGACCAAGTAAAAAGAGTTTAGGGGTGGGAACCGACTACAGCATTCTTTCATTTATTCATTCATACTTCAGCAGTAGATGAGGATGAGGTGTGAGGACTCCAGTCATGATGCCTCTCTAGGATCCCATAAAAACATGGAACGGCCAGCATCTGAAGTAAGCAACAGTGGGCACCTGTAGAAGCCCTGTTGTCTTGTCAACCGCCAGAGTATCCTGGCCTTGCTGCTACTCTTCCTTGTTGTCAAAAGGTCTACTCTTTGACATCTGATGGGATGTTGGTTGGAGAATTGTACTGTAAAATTTCCAGAAGTGTTAATTTTGAAGCACAGCTGTGTTTCAGTTTTAGTTTCTCCATAAAATGCCAACAAATTGGAATTGCTCCCCTATTCCTACTCAAACGTAAACCCCATTGAGTTCATTGATATTTAGTCCCAGTTAAGTATGTATACAGCTGCAACCTCAATCTCAACTTCTCATACACCCTCCTACATAGTATCTCGTGCTAAGTGTTGGGAGAGAGCTCCGTTGGTAGAGCATGGGACTCTTAATCTCGGGGTTGTGCGTTTAAGCAAAAGATTCCTGCGTTGCAGGGGGTTGGACTAGATGACCCTTGTGGTCCCTTCCAACTCTACAATTATATAATTCTATGATACTGGAAACTTACGGCCCTGCAGATGTTGCTGAACTACAACCCCCATCAGCCCCAGCAAGCTTGGGGTGATGGGAGTTGTAGTTCAGCACTATCTGGAGGGCCACAGGTTCCCCACCGCTGTCCTACATAGACTCTCATACATACAGTCATGATGATATATAAGCTGGAATGGGGAAAAAAGGGATGTCAAAGAAAATAACTTTCTTCCTGAAATATTTTATCGCTGTTTAAAGCAAAGACTACTGTTTTGTAATAACTTATTACCCCTCCTTTATCTGTCAGCTGATATAATGAGACATTGAATCTCTCAGCAAAACTTTCAGCAGCAGTTCTTTCAGCAGTGCTTTTTAAAAAAAGTCTCCACCCTGAAAGAAAACAGGGTGATCTTTTCGGCAGCTCAGCACCATGCAATTTCAGCCACGTGTTGCTCTCTTTGATTTTCTCCTCTACCAAATCTTGTTGGGCTTAATAACAATAAATCAGCCAAATTGCAGAATTGCTGGGTGGGGTGAATGTGTTGGAGAATGGGTGTGTGTGCATGGAGAAATTACAACGTGTCTAACCTTCGCCTTTTAGAGTTTTGCTTGTAAGGTTCCCACATCTGGACTTCATTGAGCCCAATGTGATGACAATCTCCAATAAATGTTAATGGGGAATCCCACACAGCCCATACATTGTAACATTAATTCCGTATGTCTGTTCATCTGACAAGCGCTATAATGTACAGAGCTCCAGAGGCATCCTCACCTGGAGCCCAAGTGAAGAACCACCTCAGGCCAGGGCCGGATTTAGATGAAGAGATACTCCTAGGATACTCCACTTGTGAGGCCCCTCCCCACCCCCACCCTCACAACTAGAAGAAAATGGAGGAGTGTTATAAACAAAATTGAGTGAAGCCAAGGATGATGGCGGGTATTTAAAATTCTACAATTCACAATTTTTCCTCTAAAGGACATAAGATGTTATTGTTAAATACCATGGTGATTTTAAAAAAATGCATAAAATTAACACTGAAAAACTTTTGCAATAACTGAACTATGTAAACCTTTTATGGCCTGGGTTGTCCTCTTATATACCTGCTGGGATTGACAAGGCATCTGACCCTCACCTCTCCTGTAGCTGCCTCTGATTAGTTATCATTTAACTCTTGGGGGGGAATAATTAGCATCACATGTGCATGGAAGTTGCCGAACCAATTAACCAACTAGAAGGATTACTGTTAATAGCATCAGTTTTCCTATAACTTGATACGGATTGATAGTTTTGATGAACTGCAAAAGCATTTTTAGTTTGCTTTCTGTTGCCACCCTGAAACTTTTCTTTATTAGTGCCACTTTGTGCAAATGAAGGAAAACAACTTTTCTGCTTGTATAGGTTGATAATATAATTTTGGTTACTGAGGACAAACAAGATTGTACAAAAACAAGATTGGGTGCAGGCCTGGCCAGGACATAGGTGTCCTGACTGTGACAAAGGTGACCTGTGTGCTTGCTTGCTTGCTTGCTTGCTTGCTTGCTTAACAGCTGTTGGGAACTTCAAGGTCCCCGCTCTCCCTTCTTATGGTCTTTGTACTGGACCTGGAGACTCCAATAGAGAGTATTCCATGTCAAGAAGGAGGGCAAGTGGGCACTCTATCAAATGTCAGGGCAGGAGTTACACGAAGCAGGGCCTTTTCACTGGTGGTGCCCATTGTGTGCCTCACTCTTCCCAGACCTGCTCTCTTTTGGCTGTATTTTGGAGTTTTATAATTTAGGAAGACTTTGGAAGAACTGGTTGACAAGTCCTATCAGTTGCTGACGTATGAGCGGATTTTATTTGCACCAGGGTTTACACCAGCCTAACAGAGTTGGCCAGGATGCCAGAAGGGATACCATTTACAAGCTTTCTCCATTATTTGCACAGCAGGGTGTGTTCAGTCAACAGTGCAAAGGCTGAGCTGAAGCGTTCCCTGCTGGTTACCTGCTTTCAGCAATAGGGGGTCGCTGTTTGGTAGTACCCAATTGGTTAGCTGTCAGATTCTAGAGCTCCCTATTGGTGGCTTTTAGATTATTCACAAAATGCAGAGTCCATTCATAAAACACAGTGCTCATTCATAAAGCAGCAACATAAATCTCCATTGCTATATATTGGGTGTATATTTCAGCGGTTGAACATGCAAGTTTATGGCCATGCTGTAATGTAGTGCTTATGCAACTGTGAATAAAAGGTGGCTGGGCTCATTGTCTCGGGGTTTGGGGGGAAGAGGTGACAAAACTGATTTCCAATGAGTGCCCCCCTTTATTTCCATAACAAGTCCTTGAGTCTGTACTCTGAATGGTGACACTAGAGACCTAGAAGGTGCAGGGCTTGTCAGTCCAACTCCTGCACAGTCTCATCAGAGCTGACCTTAAGGCAATTGGAGCAATTGGGCCAAATTGGGCCCCGCAGGCCGCTCCTAAGGAGCCCCCTGCACCAGTGCAATCTAGATGGATTTTATTTATATCTATAAGATTTTGCAGACTTTGGCTGTGAACTGGGGCTCTACGGAAAAAAAAAATCAAGTTGCGCCCCGCTGCTTCAAATTGGGCCCCACTGGCTAGCCCTGAGTCTAATAGTTGTTGGGCCTGAGTTGCCCTGCCCTTGCATGAAGTCTTGGGTTTACAATTTTGGGAGAGGGCAGACTGTGGCACTGGGGAGAGGGCAGGCTGGTGAGGTCCCCTAGATTTAGAGGCCCTAGGCTTCAGCCTACTTAACCTATACATAAATCTGGCACTGCCTCAGGCAGTAGGTTTTGGGCGTCATTAAAGAGGTGGCAGAATGGAATGTAGGTGGATCTGATTCACTGGCTACAGTCCTTTAGGAAATGGTCTTGGAGAACCCCAACTGAAAGTACACAATGATGTTTCGAGGAGTTATGTAGGAGGACTTCTCAATGGATTGCGCCCTGTTTTAATGAGTGGGAGAGACTATTTGGATCGCCTCCTTTAGTGTCATATGCCAAGATCAGAGTGCTGGGAAAATCCAACCCCCAGTGGCTGAAGCTCAAAATATCAGAAGCAGAGGGGGAAACAGGCAGGCAGGTAACTGACAGGTAGCAGGTAAGGACACACTCTGAAGGCACAGCAAGACAACATGGCAGTCTTTGTCAACAACGGGCTGCTCATAGTGAGGGAGCGCTGGAAACTTTAGAAAGATGCCTTATACAAGGTCAGTTTTTTTGTCTATCTAGCCTAGTATTCACAGGCAGTTGCTCTGCTAGGTGTTTCAGGCACAAAATATTTCCAATCAGACTTCCGGGGTGGCGCCATCGGAAATGGCGGACTCCCTCTGATCTGGAGGGACTAGCTCCGTGCGAAATGGGTCTTTTCCGCTACGGCGAAGCGGGGACCCTTTCAAAAATCACAGGCGGATGAAGCCTGTGACCATGGGACTTGGCGGGCACCCTTAGCGCCCCCCCAACCCGCAAAGGAACCCACTAACGGGCTCCGGGCGAAGAGGGGAAGTGGCGCGGTGCTGAGAGTCAACTGCTATTTCCGTGGAGCGAAGCCGCATAGCTGTTGCCGGAGAGCGCTGCCTTTTTCCTGGGACAATTTGGCTTCTAAAATAATCACCCGTGAGCACTTAAATTTCGGACAATTGGACTTTAAATAAGGACTGGCGGGCAGAAAGGAATTGGACTTAAAAATTTACTTCAATTTGGCACTGAAACGGGAAGGTCTAAACAGGAAGTCAGCCTTCCGTTTCTTTGTAGACAGAATAAAGCAAAGACAACGTAAACTAGAGCTCAGAAAATAGCTTCTAAAAGATTAACTTTCATCATTTTAAAATTGTTGAACCCCCCTTCGGAAGCAGGAGAAGAAGGGAGATTTTTTTCGGACTGTCTAAACCTGCAGAAGTGAGTTTAAAGTAAAGTAACTTTCCACCGTCCTGATCCTGGAGCGGGGTGTCAGGACTGATGTTTGAAGCTCATTGACCAGAGACAAACATTTTTTGACAGATAGCTAAAAGAAGAGAAACATAGTGATTCCACTGTTCCCTTTCACATTTTAAAGGAACAAATATTGACAAAATATCTCAAAAAGGAAACTTTGTTGCTAGATTTGTACTTAAAAGAAAGAACAAATAGAAGTTTTCCCCCTAGAGGGAGACTGTGAAACTGTAACTCATTCCAGGAGCTTGCAGCTGTTACAGATTACAATCGTGGGAATAGTCTTGTGACCTTGTAGGACAATGTATTCAGAAGCTCTGTGGTGTGCTCTCTGTAAAACAAATGCCCTACTGGAACAGTTAAATGAGAAGACGGATTTGATGACTAATGCGGTCAGAATTTTTGAACAGGCAGTGGGAAACTATATGGAGCCCACCCAGGAATCAAATCAGGAGTGTGCCCTGACAGAACAGATGAGAGAAGAGGATGTTGCTGAATTTTGGGCGCCAGAGATGGATGGAGCTGTGGCCCTGCAGGAACATGAGCTTTTGGACTTGACAAATGAACTTGGAAAAAGCCAGATTTGGAAAGATAAAGTTTGGACTGGTTTGGAAATGGGGGGTTGGATAGACCCCCCTATGCAGGGATGTTTAGACTTTCCAAGTCTGGCAATGGACCGTGAGATGTTTGGGGCTGTGGGGGCTCTTAATTTTGGAGGGATTCTGAAACATGTTTTCAAATACCACATGGAGTTTAGTCTGGTCTTTGGAAAAGGGGCTGATTTGTTGAAAAGGGTCAAAAACATTACCAAGCTGGAGTTCCCACGAGTGAAAGGAGAATATGAAGAAGAGCTGCGGAAGGGACATGGAAGAGACTTAAGGGCCTCGGATATAAGGTTACCAGGTTAATGCGCTAGATCAATGGGATAAAAAGGACTGACAAAACCCGGGACCAGGAGGAAAGGACGCTGGATGAAGATTGGATTGTTTTTATTTCTTTTTTATTATTATTAGGATTGTTTTATAAAATTGATGAATGTTAGAAAAATGTTGGAACGAAATTACTTGGCTCTAGCAAAAATGTTTAAAGAATTAGGTAAGAATATTATGGTTATGAGAAGTTGGTAAAAATAAGATTTAAGTTTTAAGTTTTAAGGTTTTCTATAAGATAAGATGAAAATAGATTAAGGTAATGTAATGACAGAATATTATGAAATATGGAAAGGATTTGCTGCGATAATTAATAACTAGGATACAAAAAAAGGGAGGAGGAGGAGGTCAAAGAAAGAAGGTAATGAAAGTGGAGGATTCGAGAATGATGGATTTGTTTTTATCTGTTTGTGGTGTATTTTTGTTTTTTGAATCTGCATTGTTGGATGTGGTTTGTTTTCTCTTTGTTTTCTCTTTTTCTTTTTCTGCTGTGTTTTTTTCTGTAATTTTAAAATTTTTCAATAAATATCATTTAAAAAAAACACACAAAATATTTCCAATCACATGCTACAGCCACAGCAAGCACTGCAACAATCCAACAGTTTGAGGTTGTCTTCATCCCCCAAAGGTGCACTCCTTCATTGTCTCCCGAGACAGATGAATATCAACAACATGATCATAGACAGTAATCTGCTCTAGAAGCCTCTTTGGCTGAAGAGTTGCTTTAGACGTGCTATAAAAAATAAATGTAGAAAGTTTTCAAATATTTTATCCACTGTGTACCATTGTGAATAGCGTTTTGTCTATTTTTGCACTGGGGCCTGTGATGTTTAAAGCAGGCTCTTTAATTCCTCTCCTGGTGAAAACACAACAGTGGTTAGCATAAAAGGTGTTTGACATATCTTTTCTTTACCTTTGCTGGATCTTTCTTCTTCTTCTATTAAATATTTTGAATTTTTGAAGCTTGCAAACTTCCACCTGGAAATTGACTGCTCACGCAACAATGCAGCAGCCCCTGAGGCTGCCTAACAAATGCAGGACAGTCATAAAAACTCCCTGCTCCTGGGTTTCACTCCCAGCACCTGAGGCAGGGGAGTTCAACGGGAGTTTCTTTTCCTGCCCAGTTAAAATGACAAATTGGTACATGAGTGTTTAATGAAAGATGCTGGAAACGTCCATGAAGATCAGAAAAATCACCTCGCAGAGCTGACAGGCAGGCCATCTGCATTCCCGCGTCCCTATTAATTCCCTAACGATAAACGACAGG